ATATTTCTAATTGCCTGTATTGACACTTTAGTTCAGTAGCTTGAACTAAAGTGTCAATACAGGCAATTAGAAATATTGTAATCTCATTGTTACTGTGTGATTGACTGACATTTCTTTATCTGTTCTGTATGTGATGACCTCAGAATCTTACTGTAATCTCTGCATTCTGTCATCAATTGCCCTGTACCTGTATGTGACTGGGAGTGTATAAAAACTCTCTAGTTGTGTTGAAGCTTTGCAGCAGAGTTCATCTCTGCCTGCCCGGTAATGCAGCATGCATTATCGTGAGTACCGCGGGAACCTGGTAAATACAATAAAGCCTCAGATGGTCTGGATGCTTGGTCTTTCCCACGAACCCGAGTTTTATTCCCTCTTCTCAAACTGAGATTCCAGGATTCTGACACCTTCCTAGGCTGAAATTGGGTGCAGAGCTAATAGCAGCTTGCCAGGAGTGATTTAGACTGGGAGAAAGAGTTCAGCATATCTTGGGGTACTGCTTCCCCAGCCTTCACAGCTGAAAAACACAACTGCGGGAGATTTCACATCTCTTTGTGAAATCTACTCTGGGGCTTAGCTTTTTTCCCCCAACCCATGCAAGCTAAGAAAGCCATTTTGTGGTATTTTGCAAAGAAAGGGAATCCATGGTGCCTCGATTGGGCCAGGAGAAGTCAATCCACACTACTTCAGATTTATGCTTCAGCATGCCAGCGGCTTTAAGTGAGGGTGACTGCACCGGGCTTTTTCATTTGAGATGTGTGTGTGGTGGGGGGCTCTGTAGTTGAGAGTGAGGAATCTTGTTTTGTTTATCTATGAAAGAGTAAATGGGAGAAGGTGATAATAACCTGGACTGTGTATATTATCACCAAAATAAACATTAAAAATCTTTAGCCTACCTATCTGAATTCTGCAATCTATAAGAATTATTTCATTTCTTTTATACTTAATTTATATACTTGATTTACATGATTTATACTTGATAGATAAACAAAAGCACAATTTACTCTGGTTTTGCTAATTGTAGGAGGAGCAAGGAGCTATGCAGTGTGTTTAATTCCCTTTTATTTGAAAGGTTATTCAGCTAACCTTCCAGCTTCTAGGCATTGCCCACACAATGCCAAGCATGCCTTCACAACCAAGAGGGGCAGAAACTTGCTTTTGGTAAAGTAGATGAAAAGTGAAATTTCAAGGAAGCTGAATCCTGCCCTTAATACTACTTTCTGTTCTTTCTACTCCTTTAGGGTGCAATGTTATGTGTGTTTCAAGAGTAAAAAGACCAATAACTCCCAAGTGGGAGTTACAGAAAATTTTTTCGCAGATCAGGTTGTACATCAGATTGTGCCTTAGTCCTTACTAGTTCTCCGTGGGAATACAAGCAATCCTCACCAAGATACTTGCCTTTTGGGTGAGCTGTTTGTCATTTATGACACAGAAATGCACTGCTTCCTTGTGGTCTGTCTTTCCACAGGTTTTGAATGAGTTTTATTCACAAGGATATCAGGATGCCATTCTCTTCTTACACAGAAACAGTAAGTATTACCTGATCGGTAAAGCAGGCAAACTTCTCTTCCCAGGAAGGCAGTGCAGCTTCTTGGGTTCTCCAAATATGTACCGTGCATCAAAAGTAAACTAGAAAGACCCAAATTAATTGTTCTGTTTCTCCCAGGACAGACAGTTGTTTTAGTGATGGTTTCTTCTAAGTTCACACTGGGTGGTTGTTGAGGACAAGGTGTGTCTTAGGAATGCATTTTCCCCACTACAAATGGCCTTTATTAAATTATTTGTCTTCTGATGCAGCCATTCTGTGAACAAACTCCACTAATATATTCCATTTTGAGCCAAATGGACAATAATTCATATAAACTTTCACTTAGGGTGAATATGTGTGGTCGGGATCTGTGCGTGTGTGTAAAAGCACGCTGCTGGGTTATTTCCTGAGAAACACAGTTTCGCTAGTCAAACTGCTATAATAAAGGGTTCCTAAAATGCTCCAGTCTGAAATCCTATTGGAATGAAAAGTTTGGATGTGAATCCATCTCTTGTAACCCATTTTAGCCCTCTGCTAGAGTCCCAGAAAATGTTGTTTGGAGACACAGATAGCTGTGCTGACAATGTGACTTCCTTTTGTATTCCTCAAAGGAACATATATTTACATTGGCTGCTTTATTTCTGGCCTCTTCTATGGCTGGTTTCACAAGTGAGGTGTTTCTGAAATGGTTTCTGGAATATTCACACAGATTTCAGTAAGGGGAACATGTTATTCTGCATCCAAGCATAGTCAATTAACTGTGTATTAATTGCACCTTAGCCTCCTGTTTCCTCCCTTCCTTTGGCCTAGGATGGGTGGGTAGAAGGAAGATCAGGATCTATAAGAATTGCTCTGACAATTTGCAGAAGACCGGCAAGGGATCTGACTCCCAATTGTTTAGCAATAACAGTAACCAAACAATTTCCCCATGTAAATTAGGCTGCTGAAATCAAGAATTAAGGAACTGACTTTTGTGTGAAGTTTAGCTCAGTTTGAGTACCGAAAGCAAGTTTTTAGGCTCAGAGTGTACTCATCCAGTTTGTTAATTCTAAGTGTTTAGCTTGTGCAACTGGCTTTGCTTGGAGTTCCAGTTAAAAACAAAGTAGTTCCAACAAGCCTAAAGCCACCCACCCCCTGGAGAAGCCCTGCTTCAGGTTTGCCCCACCCACAAAACTGCATAAATTCCATAAATAAACTAGTTAACTTACCAACACCTGCATGAAACCCAAATTCAAGAAGCAAGTCTCAACATCCACTGCAAACATAACACTGCTTTCCCCTATGAATGGAACATGTTGATGTTAATGAACAAAATTGTTTATTTCAGAATTTGTTTTGCTTCCTGCTAGGAAGTCAGCCATGTTCTTTGTGATGGGCAGAACAGCCAAGGAAGGGAGAAGAACACTAATAATTATCCTATCAATTATCACATCACTAATGGTGTAGGTTTAAGATGAAACTTGAGATAAAAGGAAAATATAAAAAGACATTTCAAAATCTTTATTAGTGTAATACTTTGCTTAGATTAAGCAAATAATCACAGAAAGTGCAAGCTTTGAGGACATCAGGATAGCTTCATCTGGCAGTGTGGCTCCATCTGAGAAATGGAAAGGGACTGCTTTCCTCCACACACTACGGAGCCCTTTGCGTCCTCAGAATCTGCTCCAGGGGATTAGGAGACCTCCAGAGCACATGGGAGAATAGGGCAAGGGACTACAGGCATGAGAAGAGGAAAGTCCTCTTTCTTGTGCAAGTTAAAGTCTACTTACTTGACACTGGATTTCATCCATGGTCCTGAATATATATTACTTGGGCTGAACATGGCTGCTAAAGCTCATAGACTTCATCCACGTGCCTTGACATGCTGCTGTTTGTGTGTATGTTTAATTCTTTCTTGTCAGATATTTTTGAAACTGGTTACCTTTCCAAGACAGTGACATTTGAGTTTGTCAGTGTATTCAGTAAAAAAGATTTGTTCCATGCTGGTGAACGGGCATCCTGCCAAGCAGCAGGGATGGGGATCCTTAAGACATCTAATAGGACGACATCTAAAAGGACTTCCGAAGGCTTCTCCAGGAATCCTCATAAACCAGGCAACAAATTATTACAGCAACTGCCCTCCCAGTGTCGAAAAGGTATGGAGCCCACGTGCCCTATTTACTAATTCCTTGTACCATGCTGTGTGCACAGCGGCTAGACCTTCTGGAAACACTAGAAGTCGTTCATTGGGTCGGCTGGAGGTGCCACGTCCATGACCTGGTTTTCTTGGTTATGCTCAGTGGCCAGAGATGGGAGCCTCTCCAGGATTAAAAAGAAGCAAATATGTCAGTTTTGCATTTTCCTATGAAGTTTATTTTTAACTTCAAGTTTTCCATCCTATGCATTAAGAAATTTGGGGATTTTGGTAAGTCCTTATTCAACAACAAACTGAACAACATTCTCAACCAACAACACTGACTGAACTCGATCCGTGTGGTAGCATGGAGTTGTCAGCATGGAGAAGACAACTTTGTACCTGCCTTCCATGCATCTGTCAAAGCTGACAAATAAGGTTTTATTGTTTCCATAAGGATTAATTCAATGCTCCCCCCCCCCCATTACCTAGCTGGCCTTCAGCAAGCTATTAACTGCCGACCCACTCCACATCTGCTGTATGATAAAATTGACTTAACATATATATTACCTTATAATAATGTTGACCTATCCTGTAAGAGTAGTTGAAATTATGTATGAACACTAACCAAAAAGACAAAAATATTACATGATGAATTGGGGTAGACTTCAGTAACCTCACCCTTTTCACTACAATTCGGACCTTTCTGTGCAGCAACAAAAGCATGATTTCTTGCATATTTTTTCATGTAACATACTGCCTTAAAGGCTAAATAAAAAGTGAGACATAAGTAATAAAGTTATCATTTACTTTAAAGTAAATAAAGTTTATTAATTTTATTAATAAAGTTTATTAAAGCACAAATTTAATAAAGTAATCCACAACTGAATTTCATTGGCTATATTACCTCAATAATTAACCCCTTCTTCTCTTAAGCATGGATGTTTTCCTCACTGTAGGTAGTTGATCTACATAGCACATATATGCTCCTATTGCTACAGATAAGATTCTTAGAAGAGCAAAAGCAGTGCTCTGAAGGATCAGGAAAGGGTCACATAGTCTGTGTTTTTCTTCTTGTTTGGTAGGGAATACAAAAGACTTGTAGCTAGATCTGCAGATGGTGCACCTTCTGGCTTTATTTTGATGACAATTTTTGGTCTCCAGAAAGGAAGTTGAATTAGATTGGGCCAGGAGCAAAAGCGGATCAGTTATCATGGGAAGAACCTACAAGGAGCCTTTTGGGTTAAAAGGGATCAGTTATAAGATATAGCTGTTAGGTTGTTCTGAAGGTGTTTTTTAAATTACTTTAGAGCTGCTGAGCCTAACTGGGTGTGTGGGAAATCAGCATCCAGATTTCTTAGCCCTTTCAAGGCCACTGATATGGGAGGAAATGGGGAGGTGTGTGTGTGTGTGTGTGTGTGTGTGTGTGTGTGTGTGTGTGTGAGAGAGAGAGAGAGAGAGAGAGAGAGAG